GATCATTTTCAGAATCTTTTTCTGGCTGGATATAACTGAAACAAGTTGCCCAGGAGTCATTGACAATCGTCCTAGGCCCATGAGGGCAGTTAGTCTTAAAAAGCAGATATCAGGATGGGCAGGGTGAGAAAACCAAAAGAAATGGATTTCTTGACAACCCCGTGAGGCCCAGATCAGACCTCTTGAGGTTGGCTTTCCTGCTGTACTTTCAAGTTGAATCACCAGCACATGCCCTTAGCGGAGCAGGTCAGTCTGAGACATTGATTTCTGTTACTTGCAACAGAAAGCAGCCTTACCTGCTCCTGTTAGAGCATAGCAGGAACCACAGTGTTAGAGTTGTGGGTTCATGTGCCCATTTCTCTTCGACTATAAACTCTATGAGTTCAAGAATTGTGGTTTTTTCATTTTTGTCATCTCAGCACCTAGCACAGTATCTGGCACTAGTCATGCTTAATAAGTGATTACTAGTAGACAAACAAATATGAAAATAAAGCAAGCTAATCTGGATGATTCTGACCTGAAAAAAAAAATCTCTTTCTCAAGTATTTTGCACAGTTTTTTATATCTGAGGCAACTCTACCTTATACAGTTAGATATCTACAACATACCCATAACCATTTCTGACTCTAATTCAATTCCCTGAAAATGATTTTTTTCTCCCTTTTCCTAATTATATAAATAATGCATGCTCATTACAAAAGTTCAAAAGATACACAAAACAGAAAAAAGGTGAAAATCTACAGGATGACCAGCATCTAAGGCATATACTACTCAGAGTTTTCAATGCAGAGGTTACATAAGTTTTGCCCTGTTTTTGTTTATCTCCCTATACCATCCCTACTACCACCTCTGCTGAATAAATGTGTCACACACCATAATCATCCCAGAGGTATCAATTTAAGAGCTGTATTTTCAGGTTGGGTGAACATTTAATGCAGGCACACTATGTGCTAAGTGTTTGCTGTACTAAATGCTCTCTGGGTGACAGAATGGCTATTTACTGGGTCATGAGTTATCACATTTATGTCTTCTCAACAGCTTTTAGACAGGAATTATTACACAGCTGACCCTTGAACAATGCAGGAGTTAGGGGCACTAATCTCCCGGGCAGTCAAAAATCCACATATAACTTTGCCTCCCACCAAACTTAACTACTAATAAATAGCCTACTGTTGACAGGAAGCCTTATGGATAACATAACAAGTCAGTGAACACAAATTTCATATGTTATATGTATTACATACTTTATTTTATGATAAAGTAAGCTAGAGAAAAGAAAATATTTTTCAAATTGTTTGCAAATCTCCAAAAAATTTCCCAATATATTTATTTTAAAAAAAAGTTGTGTAAAAGGACTTACTCAGTTCAGACCTGTGTTTTTCAAGGGTCAATTGAACTTGCCTTGTAGCTAAGGAAAGCAATATTGCAAGATTTGGTAGTAGGGAATACTTCTTAAAATGCATTCTGCCTGCTCATTGAAACTATTTTCTGAAGATACGAGTAACAAAACTCACTCTATTAGTTACATGATAGCTTTCACGGTGTGAAACAAGAATCAAACCCCCTAATCTCAAGATTCTTAATGACAGAGCTTTTGCTTCGTGAAATTCCTAACTTAGTTCTCTTTTGTCTCATACAGAAGATGAAAAGGAGGTATTGGCAGAATGAGGCACTAGACAGACAAAGGGGCTGTGATAATGATGGAAGGCCACGTGAAGCCATTCATTGCCATCTCTGCTTTTTGTACTAGCCTGCAATGCCGGATTCCACCCAGATCCTTCAGGCAGCCTTCCATTAGTTCCCAGCAGTAAGGATTACAACTGTAATTTAAAACTAGAGATAAGAAAAGTGCACCTGAAATTAGCAATGGTCTCTCTGAGCAACTGTATTTTTAAATGGCATAAAAGACAAATGGCAGAGAGTTTTAATCCAGCTGACCCTAACATCACCTTCCAAAGTCAATCTCTGCCTCTCAACAGGGAAGAAAGGCCAGTGTCTAGCCTTGATGGATCAGGCTGCTGTCAATTCCAAAATACAACTTAAAAAGCTTTCAGTCTGAGATCTTCAGAGCTTTGACCACTTTCTTGTTCAAGTGACTTCTTTTGGCTTAATGGGAAAAAGGTCAAAAGTAAAACCAAACAAAAGCCCCACAAAAACCAACCCACTGGAATTTTAGCTTCAGTACTAGGAATGTAAGTAAACATTTTTACTTCAGGGTGGGGGTGTCCCTAACACTTTGGGGCCCAGGGCAAGCTACAAGAGGAGGGCCCCAGACATGAGCCAGCCCCTCTTCTCTGCTACAGGTCCTTCCTGCACCACAGAAAGCCTTTCACGCAGTGTGTGGACATCCCAACTCACACGTCCTTGCTGTGATCAACAAAATCCCACACCCTACCCTCACCGCCTGCTCTCATGCAAACAGCAGCCTTGCACCCAGAGGTGGGTACACCATACAGCTCCTGGAAGTAGGTTCAGGGTTGTTTGGGGAAGAAATTCGGGTGTCTTATTTAAACAGATTGTGGTCTAGAGAGCAAGATCCAAAAAAGCCCATCCTCCTGGCACAGAGGAAGGGCGCCTAGGTCAAAGGGTGGTACTAACTCATAATTTGGTAGATGTATGACCTTTTAAAGTTTCATATCTTTTTATACTAAATCTTATACTTCAGTAAGAATTGTAAAAATGGTTCAGGAAAATGTGATTTTCATTGGTGTAGGCCAAGAGTGAGAGCAAAGGGAATCCCCAACATAATTTTTTTTTATATCCCTGAAACTCTGATACAGGTTAAATATGTGGGGAGAAGAATCAAAGCAGACATAGGGCCAAAATCCCAAAATGAAGTCCTCAGAGACCTAGGCAACTCCTCTTGGGTAATTTCACCGTGGCTACTGTGTAGATTCTGGACTTAGAGTCGTGAGTTCATTTTCTAGCACTGCCATATGCCAATTCGAATTAGCAGTATTTAAGCAAACTTTTCTCTAATCTTGTTTCCTCATTTGATAATAAGAAACCTAAAAATAGAACCTACCCAGTAGGGTTGTGATGAGGATTAAATGAGAAAAATGCATGTAAAACACTCAGTACCGTGCCTGGCACATAATAAATGGTATTTCCTATTGTAATCATGGATTTTAGTGTAATGTCAGTACTGGCATTATTGCCTAATTGGCTAGCAAATAACTTAGAAGGCTATGATCTATTATTAGGCATCAGTTTATTTCCATGCTTCTCATTTGAAGTTGAGCTTATTCTTTAAATAATTATGTAAGAACTTCGGATGCCATTTGAAGGATTCATTAAAAGTGAACTGAAAGTTAATGATTCTGTCTTTCCTGGGATTCCAAAATAAAAACAAACAAAAATTTTCTAGCTGTAAGAAGTATATCTTACCAACAAGAAAAATTTTGTAATCTGCCTATTTGCTGTGCATGCTTCTTTCAAAACCAATACCAGAATGAGTTAATATAGTTTACAAAATTCAACCTGTAACAGTAATGACTACCTTTTATTGGGTTAGTCTTGTACCAAACAATGTACCGTTTGCTTTCCATATACATCATCTAAGCTGGTGTCATCTTGCTAACCTTCCCCTCCCTCATTTTAAAGAAAAGGAGCCCATGGCCCTTTGCATTTGCATTATGCTGGAGCCAGGCCTCTGAAAATCTCTTAAACCTCTCCTCCTTCCACTGGTCCCAACCTCTTTCAAATAAAATTGTATATGTCACATACGCAAAATGTTAATGCGTTTTTGGCTTTTAATTCTTTTTTGAAAGACATGTTTTTGTGTGTATGTGCTCTCTCTGAAGGTCCTTGTCCAAGTTCATATTTGTCTTGCTGTAAATTGAATTGAGAATAACTCATGCTAAATTTTTCTTTTGTTGCTATAAATACAGCTATTCTTGGTGGGTGGAAACGATGAAAAAACCACCACCAAATGAGAAGAAACTCAGTTTACTGAGATTGGTACATTGGTTTATTTCACCATAAAGCCATGCTAAATCAAAAACCCAGATATGGCTGTAAAATAAGTTGTGGGCTCTGGCATGTGATTTTTAAAAATGTGGTACAATAAAATTCAATGTATGATATATCACTAAGGTACTTTATAACTATATTATTCTTGGCATTAAGATATATTAACACTCTGGAACATTCAGCTGTATATTCTGAGCTTTATGAAGCACCATGGGCTGGCCAGACCATCGAATGCAGATGTTCGCTTCTACCTGCATGATTTGCTGAATTTCCTACCTTAATCGTTATTGCTGTAGCCCAGAGGCTTGGAGCTGAATGTAAGACAAAAAGACATTTTACAGACCCTTGCGGGGCAGCCGTTTGTAGATTAGAAACCAAGTCTCAGGTTACACACCCCTAAGTGCCAACTCCAATACATCACTCCTCTGCTCTTATTTGAGCAGAACTTCCTCAGAGAAATGGAAAATATGGAAAAGCTATGAACAAAAGAAGTATGCCTGAAAAAATGTGTTCCTGGAAAAAGATATATTCCCATACTCCAAATTTGCCAAGTTTTGGTGCAATCAGAAAGTGTACTCGGAAAGGAGAAATAACTTTATTGGAAGTGTAGTGGGTGCTGATGGCTAAACTACTTATCAGGAAAAAGCAGAGAGCAAGCTAGGTCCCTGGTGAAAGAAAATAAAAAGCATCCCGTTTTTTCTAAGAGGTGCTTAAATGAGTTGCTTTCTTTGAGGATAAATGGGACGTTCTTGTCAGAGCTATAGATTCTCCATCTAAAGGGAAAGGACAATTATGTGTAAGATAAACACTTCCGACAAACAGTTATGGGTTCGAAAGACAGTAACTCCTTGCTGGTGAAATAAGGCAACTGTCAATAAGCCAGACACTCTTGAAACATTCAGAAAAATGTCTTGCTATTCCTCTCCATATATAATATGCCATATGACACCACAGTTAAATCTGCTACTGCAAAAAAAAAAAAAAAAGTACGTCAAGCTGTTGGTTTCCATGAGATTTGGACAGAGGCAAAACAACACAGCAGAAAGGCGTCTGGGAAGGAATAGCTTTCGCTTCTTTCCTTCTGAGGAGGAAATGACTAGCTGACCAGGAGTTGGTGCTCACCCTGCCTGGAGCCAGGACCTGGAACAAGGACCTGGAGCATACCCAGATGAGGATGAAAATGCAGCTTCAGGTAATTATTAACGGGAATAGGCAACTAGAGAAAACAGTTACAAGTTATGCAAATACTACCAGTCATGCCTTCTGCATCAGCCTGCCCTGCGGTGCGTTGTACAGCTCTTTCCGTTAACCATCCAGTCTTTTCTTTCCCTCCCTCTCCCCCATCATCAACAGGCATGCCAAATGCAAATCTCCTTGGATTCTGATCCCATCCCGGCAAAATGCAGACTACCATCATACCGAGTTTCACAATAATCTCCACAATGATAATTACTCACAGCCCCTCAGTTCTGTTCACACAAAAGATCGCGATTTGAACCCTGCCTTGCACAGGTTCAGCTCTGTTGCAGCTGGTTACCAGGCAAACGGGCTGTTTTAAGATTTACCGATCACTGGGGAGAGTGAGCTGGGGGTGGGGATGGACGAACCACCCTGTACATACCTCCTTTTGGCAGCTCAGAAAAACAATTTCGTGACAAAGAGACTTGTTCTTTTCAAACCTCACCCAACAAATGAAACTGACAGAATGAAACCTGAGAAACTTTAGCGACCAAAGAAAGCAGCCTTCCAAGGATCAAGGTGAATAATTGATTTGTCGGGTTTTATTTCATCTTTAAGCTATTTTGCTCATTAAAGGGAATTGTGGAATTTGTCAGAAACCCAAACACTGACACACACTTCTGACAGCGAGTGCATATTCCAAACTACAGACTCATTTGCCAAGCTTATTCAACAACAATGATTAGCTGCAAAGCCAGGGAACTTACCGAGCACAAAATTATTGGAACAAAGCAGGGAGGAGGCAGGAGGCACCGAGGCAGCTTCTCCGTCTCCGAGGTGCCAGGTTCTCCTGTCTGCCGTCCGGTTCACACTTGCCTTTATAACTAAGACTCCGGCAGAACTCACTAGCGAACCTGATGAATTATAAAACAGCCCCTCCTAGACTCTCATATTTTACATCTCAGGGGGTGACCATGCAGCATCCTCACTCCCTGGGTACATGTATTTCCTTGTAACTCATCCTGATAAATACATCAGCCTCAGAAGCAGTGGCAGTAATTGGTGTTTGGGATGTACAAGCATTAACCAATAAGATGCTTTCCCACCATGAGATCTGCACCCCCAGCCTCCACTCAGGTTCCCCCACACCTTGTCAAGGTGGATCCACCCAACCCAGTGGGGAGTAGGCAACGATGGCAAAAAGTAGAGGAAAGCCCCGGCATTTCCACTGCACGCATAGCGTGGTGTAGTGCTCAGGGTTAATTCTCATAATGGTTCTGTAAAAACCAGCCCTCCTATTTGCATAGCATGTCACAATGTCCCGAACACTTTCATTCTCCTGGAGCCACTCAGCAACCAGGGGAGGAATCAGTAGTGCTGGAACATAAATGAACCACCAGCACTCAGAAGTGAAATGACTTTGTTCAGTGTTCATGGAAATTGGGGGATTCAGGGAGCCCCAGAGGGTCAAGGAGCCCTAGAGACTGGGTGTTCAAACTGCTCACTGTGCAGATGAGGAACCGAAGCAAGATAAAGTGACCTGTCTAGGTCCCACAGTCTACAAGTGTGACTTGAGCTTGAACCTAAACAGAGGTCTTCTGATGTCAACCACAGTGTCTTATTATCCTACCATGTTACCTCTGGAGCACGGAAGCCCTGAACATGGGAAGTCATGCAGAAATCAAAAACCGTAGCATTGATTGATCAAAAATCATTACCGAGCAGGCTGCCTGGGGGAGCAGAGCAGTGCCTCAGCTTTTTTGTTTTTTCGCTGACAAGGTCAATACAACCTGTTAGGTTCACTGAATAGCAACACTAGAAAACATGGTTTTTGACAATAATAGCTACAATCTAGCACTTCTTATGCACCAGGCAGAGCTGTACGAGCTCAGACTCATTTAATCTTCATTGGATCTTCCAAACACCCCTATGAGGTATGTATTACCGCAAACGACATATTGCAGAATAAAAACCAGATCGAGAGAGGTTAGCAAATGCAGCAGGATCCCAGGTGCTAAGCGGCAGGGCTGGAATCAACCCCAGTGACCTGGTTCCACAGCCCAGACTCTTAAACATATCATCCCATCCAAGCAGGGTTTCGAATTCAACTGTCAGTGGCAAATGAGCAATGTGAGCAGATTTATTTACTATGGCCTTTAGTAGAAACTGTAGGAAGTTCATAGGTTTTGTAATCAGACAGACTTGTGTTTAAACCCTGGCTTTGCCCAACTTACTGTAAAAGAGGTCGCTTCATCCATAAGATGGGTATGCTAATTCTTACCTTGCAAGATTAAATAGAGTATATCAAGAAAATAGAGGGCTGGGTTTATAGTGCTTACCCCTAGATTGGTGGATTTAATCTTACCACACTTTCTGGAAAATGGGTTTCTGCCTTACCTTCTCTTTAAACTGTCTTTTAAAATGTCAGTGGAAATTTGCCAAGGAGTCTTCTAATCTGCCAGCCTGTGAAGAAGGTGAACTACCCCAGAGAAGTCTACCATCCAGACTGCACAAGGACAACAGGATCACGTGGCCTTTCTGCCAGAGGATGGCCAGGCCAGGGGGGCCACCTGTTCCAGTTCCTAGCTACTTCCCTCCCACCATTAGTCAATGGACTCACCAGCCCAGGAAAGCATATTTACAAGGTAATTGCTTTCCACGTGAGACCAACTTGGCTTCCTTCACCTGTTTCAAATAAGCACCTGACACAAAACCTATACAACAATGAATTTTTGCATAGAGCTACACATCTGCTGCCACTGAGTTAAGGTGTGCCCAGCTAGGTATTCCTGTCCTGAAAGTTCCACTGCAAACTCCTGTCCTAAGTCAGTATTTGGCCACCTGAAAGGCTCCTATCAGATGAGCTCTCATCCATATAAGGAACTGCTATCTTCAAGCTATGCAATCAGCATTCCTTCGGGGGACATCAGCAGTAGCCTTCTGGGGGACAAGGAGATGCTGTAATGTTCTAGGCTGTGCAAATTAAAACATGCTAGGTTTTCTTAGCTCTGCATCTCTAGAGAATGACTCAGTGGCCAACTTAATTTGCTCGTGTACAGACTATCCTCTTCTTGTTTATGTTTTTCCTTTTAACTTACTAGGGGATCTGGAATATGTGTGGATGAAGAGTCCCCTTTCTCACGACCATACTTAACACTAGGATCTGTGGGAGCAGATGTATGCAACATGATTGGAGGGCTGGGGAGAGAGACTTGGGCTTCTAAACTGTAAGAAAAGCCAGGTGTGAACACCAGGAGCAGAGTAAATTGTAACTACGATGATGAGATCAATGGTTACTTCCTATATATTGATATAGGTGTTACTTACATATGGCCTGACATGGCTTGGTCTTTTTTCTCTAAGTCTTTTCATGATTTCTAGTTCCTTAATGTACCATGATTCCAAAAGCCAATTCTTCTCTGTCCGTTTTCCCCGTGCTGCCTGGCTATTCCACCATTATGACACACCCCATGAAAAATTAATGTAGATGAGTCTTCATAGGTTTTATATGATAACACATTGCTCTATTCCCCTGTCAAGGATAACCATAACACATATTCTATCATAATCACCACTTCATGCCACCAGTTGCTCCCAGACATAATGAAGGATTTTGAGCCTTGAAGCTCTTGTCAGTACTTCGCTTATATTAGCGACAGTGCTAACATTTATGGAGCACTCATTATGGGCTGGCAATGTGTCAACCACACCACATTTTGAAATGAGTTGTGCTAATCTCTACTTTGTAGATGAGGACTTTGTAGCTGCTAAGGTTAGGTGACTTGACAGTACACAGCACGGTCAGAATCATAGCTGCAGTCTGAGCCTGCAGAGTCACGCTTTTAAACTATTCCATCCACTGCTTCTAAGAAATGGAGGTAACATAATGTGAAATACGTACCTGTTCTCATTGCTTTTACTTCCTCACACCCTTCCCTCTACTTATCTGAGTTATGCACTGTCACCATCCCACGAGAGTTCCATTTATTCAGGTAGATGACGATATGCTTGCTAACAAAAGCCGTGGCTGGTGTGTAGTCCACAGCCAGTGAGTAGTTTACTTGATGTCTCACCAGCTCTTTGGTAGAATTAATTACAACTTCCCTGAATCAAACACTTTCTTCACTTGGTTTCTGAGACACCTTTGGTTTCCCTCCTACCTCACCGATCCATCCTCCTAAGACATCTCGCTGAGTCCTTCTCCATTTCCTGATCTTTCAAACTTACAGTGAGTCTGAGTTCACTGTTAGACCTCTCTAGTTACACTCACCCCCGAGGCCGCAATATCCAGCACCAAACTTAAATGCCATCTACAGATTAAAGACTACCACATGTAGATCTCTAGTCCTTACCTGTGGCCTGAACTCCAGACTCTTATATCCAGTTGCACACCACGTCCAAGCATCCCCACTTGACTGTCAAATAGGCTTTTCAAATTTAAAAAGTCCCAAACCAAGCTTGCGGTTTCCTCCCCTGAATCTACTGTACTCCTGATATGCACCATTTCAATAAATTGCATAATCATGAACTTGTTGCTCTGGGAGTCAACTCTTCTTTTATCCTATGTTACACATCTTAGTCATCAGCAAATGCTGTTAATTCTGTCTTTAAAACATATCCCAGTCTTTTCTCCATCTCTGCCCTTATCTCCCGGGTCTATACCAGTACCACCTTTCATATAGATTTCTACAATCCCCTCCTAACTGGTTTCTTTGCTTTGACTCTTGCCTTCGATCAACCATGGTGCACAGGGCAGCTAGAGCAATTGTTTGAAGACAAAACTTAACTGCTCAAAAACTGCTCAGCTTCCTTCAGTGGTTCCCCTCTCACTTGCTTCCTCTGCAGCCAGGATCCTGCCGTCACATCTCCTCCTAGAACTCCCTGACGCCCTGCATAGAGCAGCACCTTCCATTCCTCACGAGTCTCTACTTCCTTGTTGGACTTTATTTTTATCTATGGTACTTACCTCTATGTAAGTTTATATTATACATTCATATATTTATTTTGTTAACTTGTGCATCCCCCACTAGAATGTAAGCTCCATGAGGCTGGGGGCCTTGCCTATTTTGTCCATGTCTGAAACTCCATCACTAGACCAGGGCCTGGCACATAGTAGATATTTAAAATATTTATTAAATGAAGGTGTCCAAAGTCCCATCTTCACTACTTCTCACTTATATGTCCTTGGCATAAATTGCTTACTATCCCCAAATCATAAATTCCTCAATTACACATTTTCTTAAAGAACAAACAACTCTTACGTTGCTCTGGGACTTTACAGTGTATTCGGCATCTGTGAATGTCTTTGATACAACGATTCCACAAGACTGGTCAGTGGTATAGATTAACTTGTGTCCCCCTCAAAACTCTTAAGTCCTGACCCCTCAAAACCTCAGAATGTGACTTATTTGGAAATGGGATTGTTATGGATGTAATCAGTTAAGAAGCCATACTGAAGTAGGGTGGGTCCCTAAGCCAATACGACTGGTGCCCTTATAAAAGAAGGAAATTTGGACACAGGTATGCCCACAGGGAGAAAGCTGTGTAAAGACTGCAGGTATCCTGCAAAAAGCCAAGGGCTTACCAGAAGCTAGGAGAGAAGCCTAAAACAGATCCTCCCTGGTACCTTCAGATGGGGAATGGCCCTGCTGACACTTTAATTTCAGACTTCTGGGATCCAGAACTGAGACAAAGATATTTCTGTTGTTCTCAGAAACAACGAGCTTGTACTACTTTGTTACAGCCACCCTAAGAATTAATATAGCCAGCCAGATATTATCCTCATCTGACATATGAAGAAATTGTGGCTCAGAAAGTTTGAGTAACTTGCATCAAGTTTCTCAGCTAGGAATTTATAGGGCCTGGATGTAATTTGAGATCTGTGTGACTTCCCATGCATAGAAGCAGTGGGATTCCTAGTAGCTGGTCCTGACCCTCGTTGGTCCAGCAAAAATGAGAAAAGAAATGAGATGCAGTAGTTTTTCATCAAGCTAAAATGACCTTCCTTTTTCATAAGGTTATATCCTGTTTGTTTTTTCTTCCTATTTGTTTTTCTTCCTCTTATTTTTGCTATTAAATTTTCTTTTTATTTCTGAGATGATGGTGAGGATAGTTTTTTGTTTTGCTTTTTAATGTCCTTCATTTTATTGGCAAGATAAAATGTTGGCAATTATGTTGGCCTATAAAAGTTTGTTCTGAAATGTTTCTGGCCCATGAAATGTAAAAATCTGGGAACAACTGTTCTAATGCCACCCCCTCCAGCAAGCTAGAAAGCTCTTCACATGTAGTAACATTTGGTGATGGGAAGAAGAAAGTCTTTTTCTCAATCAACTGAGATGATTGCTCATCTCATATATAAAATGTCTGCACTAATGGTTACCTTCTCTCACCTTATTACCAATGAATTAATTTGACACAATCTCATGGCACAAATATATATAACTGAATTTGATGATAACCATTCATAATTTAATTTAGCAAAATTCAAACTGTTTCTTAGTCTTCCCCCACCCCACCTTCTCCCCTCTTTCTTAGTGAAGATTTTCTATTTCGGTTAAATTCTTGACTCGCTTTTGACTTAATCCATTTTCTTTTGGATTTGGCACCTGTGGGTGTGTGCAAATATATGAGAATTAAATGAGATCACCTTGGTTAGGTATCTATAAAACATCGCAAAAGCTTTGAGTAAGTGCCAATTCCCTTAAAAGAAAGAGGTAAAGCTTTATGTGTCCAGAAGGAAGTCAGCTTTCAGACCAAAGAAGATTTAGAGCAACTGGATGACTTGGCAAGATCAGCCAACCTGCAGAGTGTTAATGAACTTTTCTTTGTGCCGAGCATTCAGTGATCCCTAAGACAGTTCCTAGGAATTGTGGTAGTCTATTTTTATGAATTCATGTTCATGAACATGGGTGGGCTATATATATGTGCATACATATAAATATATATGTATATATATATGTTGATATATATTTATATATTGATAAATCATATATATCATTAATATAAGTTCAATCAATGTGAGTGTTTGCAACCTCTTCAGTTTCAGAGAAACCCAGAAGGAAAAACCTTCATGCATTTAAGAGTTTGATTTCTTTGCTTTAATTGGTCCCCTAGAATCTAATTTATTCCCACCAGTTTCTTCTATCCTGGGAAACCTTAATACAGACAAACTGCAGCCCATCCCTTTGTCAAAGTTGTCCCAGACTCCAAATCACCGAAGGAGGAATTCCTTCCTTCCATGAGTATTTATGGAGGGCCTGTCACGTCCCAGCCACTGTGTTAAGATGTTGGATGCCAGGAGAACAATGCAGTCAAGGTCATATTTTTTTCATCCCCTAAGCGGCTCTCAGTCCAGGGGGTAACAAGCAAATAGTAGCTAATAACACAACTGCATAGCTTATTTTAGATGGTCTTTCATGAAGGTGCTATCAGTGCCCAGAGAAAGGGCATGCAACCTAGTCCTGGGGGATTGAGGTCAGGAAGGCTTTCTGGGAGAGGTGGCATCCAACTGAGTCTTGCTTGACTAGGAGATATCCAAGTAAGGAAATTTCCAATCAGAGTGAGAAGCATGGGATGTACAAAGGTCTGGGGAGCAAGGGGTTGGTCATAGACTTCTGGAGGGGTGGAATTTTATCCAGTTACCAGTAAGTAACCTAAGTACTAGGTTACTAGTGATGGAACAAAGACTAACTTCAGGTTTAGGAATACTAGAAAATAATCACTGCTTTTTCATAAACTTCTTCATGAATGAATGCACTGAAGGCTAAAGTAGAAAATGTCATACTTTTATAGTTAGACAGTTCTAATTCATTCAATCTAACTTTTGCAAGTTGCTTAAATTCTCTGAATTGAACCTCAGTTCATCATCTATAAAATGGAAAGAATAGGACTTATACAGCTGTTGTGTTTTTATGAAATTAAAATGTAATATATCTTGCTTTCTACCTGCCGCAAAATAGACGCAAGAGTAAATGTTAATTCATGTCCTACAAACACTTGTGTTATTGTGATTAAGAACTATATTGCTCATATCAACTCGTTTCCCATTGGGGTACTTTGGTTTTCTTCCTAGACCTGTTGTCTCAAAACTTTGAATGTTGACATCATGTAAGAAAATTTTGAGAGTCCATCTCCCGTTATCTAAACATCTATGTATTTATAAACTGTGGGATGTACAACCATAGTACCATGGCACAGTACTTATACCAGAACAGAAATTTAAAGGCTGAGATAAAAGAGTAACATAAAGGGTAGGACTGTCTTTTACACACTCTTGGGACACATATATCCACAGTGGAGAAGACTAAGAGCTCCTAAAGAGAGAAGACCTCATCTCATTTTTCATGGCGCCCCTAGCAGCACAGACTAAGTACTAAAGGAGTGTCTAGGAATTGAAAAGGCAACAACAGGGGATTAGGGAGTAAAAAAGAAAAAAACTAGGTGGCCTACTACCTGTCCAAACCAGTTTTTATATTTAAAATTTTAATATATGGTGTAATAATAATAAAAGTCTAAAATAGTAGAAATGTTAAGCAACCAAAACATAACTGCCTCCCTTTCCAAATGTCTGTGGTGAGTAAGAGTAAATATATTTCTTTTTCAAAGGGCTAATACTTGCTGAGCACTTATGAGACAGACACTATGCTAATCATTCTACATGTACTTTCTTATTTTCTCTCCACAATAATCAGGGCACCACACTGCATCTCTCTAGAGGGTATCAAACACAATTTAGTCTTATGTTGGGAGTCTGCACACCATGGCCTGCAGGCCAAATCTGTCCCTCTGTCTATTTTTGTACATTTCATAAGCCAAGAATGGTTTTCACATTTTAAGTGGTTAAAAAAAAACAAAAACAAAGGAAGTATAATGCTTTGTGGTATAACGAAAATTATATAATATTCAAATTTCAATGCCCATACATAAGGTTTTATTGGAACATGGCCATACCCATTCTTCTATGCATGATACATGGCTGCTTTTACATGACAAAAGCAGAGTTGCTTGGTTGCAATAGAGAGAGCATCGCCCATAAAACCTAAAATATTCAGTATCCGGCCCTTTACATTAGGCTGACCCCTAGTGCCTGTGAAGGGAGTCCCTGGAATTATGCGGGTTGCATCTTGCCAGGGGTTCTAAGTTATAGCCCAGATAGCAATCCTGTGTGGCAGTGGAGGCTCAGAGAGAATAAGTCACTTGTCCATGCAATTAGCAAGTGGAAGAACCAGGGGCTTTCAGGGCAAAGTTTTAAGGCTGAAATATGCCTTTGATTCCAACTAGAATCCAGACCCTTTTTCATTGCTGATAAAACGTCTCCACTGCCCCCACTGTCTTTCTGTATTCTCATGCCTAGATTTTAATATTGTTATGGCTAAGGACAGGGTAGAGTAGGGAACAGGTCAGTGGAACAAAAGCACAATCCACTCCTTCATAACTACCTCCTTGAGTCTTTCAAATATCCACTTGGCCCTGGAGCATGAGGCTTTGCCATCCCTGGCTGAGCTGAAAGTGATGACAACGACATATGTGGAACGCTGGAAACCTCATTACTGGCTTTTTGCATACAGAAACTCAGCCAGCCTATCCTCTTATCCAAGGAACTTCAAACTTACACTTGCTCAGCTGGTTCTCTCCAGGTGCCTCTAACAAGTTGCTCTGCCCAGCTGAGATCAGAAGTCGATAGACGAGACTACATATGCTTTGCTATCCTGGAGAATATGCTCCTTTTCTCTAACTCTCATTGTGTCAGATCATTCTAGGGGCTCAGACACTCCTGGGTTGTAATCTGGATACTGTAAAATGCAAGTCACAATAACTTCTTCCTGGACAGTATCCTGGAGGCCCAGATACATTAACATAATGTGACTGCCCCATTACAGCCAGAATTTTGCTTCTAAGCAGGATCAACTAACAATGGCAAGGCATCAGCTATGTAAAGTTGTGGGAACAGCTTTCATGTAGGTTAATCTCACTGGATCTGCCCAGAAGAGATTCATTATTCCCATTTATAGATAAAAACACCAGGACACAAGAGGAATTAAGCAGCATATCCTTTATATGCACCTGGTAAGTGGCAGGTCTGGGCTTCAAACCTCAAGCTCTGATTCCTAAGTTCCTGTCACTTCAGTAAACGAGCTGTCCGTGACAATGTCTGCTTTTTGCCATGATAGTTATTAAAAAGCAAGCTGACAAACATACCTTCCAACTTGTCCCTTCAAATCATGACATGATTATAACTGGGACACAGCACACTATTATGGAGTTCAAGGGGCAGGGTTTAAGCTTATTAGGGAATTATTTCAACTACCTGACCTTCTGTAAATCCGTAAAATGGGAATAACAATTGACCTACCTTGTAGGGATGTTGTGAGGATTGTATAAAAGAATATAAGTATTCCATTTATGTAAAATGTTCAGAATAGGCAAATCTTTCCAGACAGAAAGTAGACTGGTTGTTGCCCATGGTTCGGGAAGAAGATTGCCAATGATATGGGTTTTTTTTAGAGATGACGAAAATGCTCTGAAATTGATGGTGGGGATGGTTGCACAATGCTGTGAATATACTAAAAACCATTGAATTGGATACTTTAAGTGGGCAAATAATATGGTCTATGAATTTTAAGACAATGTAGATAAAGTGCTTACTTAGCACAATGCTTGGCACAAAGTAAATGCTTTATAAATATTAGTTTTTGTCATTTTTGTTTTGAGGCAGAGACTGGCTGGTTCACTAAACTCATTTCCTCTTCTCCTGGAGCACAAAACTTGATTCTACCCTGGAAGTTAGGTACAACCATATATCTGAGTTCTGGCCAAAGGAATGTGAGTTCTGGCCAATGAAATGGGGTGGGCGGGGCCCATAAAAACATTCCCCTTGTAAACCTTCGTGTTCTCTTTCCCTCCCACCAGCTTGATGCAAATGAATCCTTTGGCCTTGGAAGTCACCTGCTGAAGATGGAGGAGTCACAGCGGGGAAACGTCCCAGAATCATGGCCCAGAGAGGAAAGTTAAAACAAGTTTTGGATTTCATGAGAAAGAAGATACACTTGGATTGTGTTTAAACCATTATTCATTTTGAGATCTGACAGTAACAAGAGGTAGTATTAGTATAACTGATACATTATTGTTACAGTTTTAACTCTCCCAGCTTGTCTGAAATGACTGACTATGGAGTGGCTGAGGGAACAGGAAAGGCTGTCTGGAAAATACAACCGTCCCTTTAATGCTGCCAAATAGTCACTGGACAATGTGAGGAGGGTCCACAACTTTCCCATCTTGGGGAAGCTGGTCCTTGTTCTGCCCTCGTCCTCTGGGGAAGGGCCCAACGAGCAGCAGACAATGCGCAGTCAGACCACCAGCAGCAGCAGAGGATGTGGAGCAACCCCAGTCAGCTCTGTGCCTGCCACTCTGTGTTTCTTTGCTGCCCTGCTTCATGGAGGCCATGTACCCCTACCCACTTTGCCTCTGATAAAAGGGAGAAGTACTAATCAGAGATGTTACCCAACCCCATTACGTACCATCCCTGCTCAGTGCTTCCTAAAGCAGCATCCTTCATTCTCTCCCTGTGGAAAGCAAAGAGCTATTTAGCTCTCCTGGTGAGTAATGCCAAAATATTTGATTATTATTGTCTCTCATTCAGAAGATTATCTGTCAAAAGCAAATGCTGTGAGTCATGCTTTAGAAAAAGGTGAACAGAGGATATGCAACCAAACCCAAAAGGTGGCAGACTGGAGTGGGAACAATCACTGGGGAGGCGTTTTGTGGCCCCCGCCTGTGGTCAAGTGGGACCAACAAGGCTTCCCCTTGTGTTTCTCACAGGGGGACACTGTGGGGACCAGCAATCGTGTAAAATGAAAGTGCATTCTGATCTTATAAAAACAGCTGATGATCCTCAACTATTTACTGTGAAGTCTTTCTACATAGGTTGCTTAATTTCTCAACAAGCTTATTACATAAGTATTATAATGAGCCTCACTTATGAGGTAAGAAAACTGAGGCTCAGAGAGGAGAAACTAATCAACATCCCCATGATCCCCGGGGTGGAAAGCAGCAGAGCTGGGACTCTGCTGGGACTTGATAGACACTAAAAGCCCACATCCCTAACCACCATACCCTTCCTGATGGAACAAATGAAATGTGTTATCAAGGTGAGTGACTCATCTGCTGGACAATCCAGGATGCCCATGCCAAGATGCCTACCTTTGCTCACTGCATAGGCAGAACGTCCCACAATGCTCCTTGCACCCGGGCATGTGCAGTGCCCGAGAGAATAATGAACAGGAAAAGGGGAGAACAAAGGCCATTGTTCTGGGCCTCAGAGACCAGCCTGCCTAAACGTGATTCAGAAAGTCATTCACAGACTCAGCTCTCCTAGATTTTAAATATCAGATCATTGCAGGTAGAAATGTTTACTTCAGATAGAAAGTGCATCTTCCTGCTGAAAATCGCTTCTCTCCCCCAGCACAAAATCATAAAGAAAGAAAAAAGCATCTGAATTTCTTTCTGCTTCCTGTTTGCCAAATGGTTTCTTTTCCCTTTAACTTTCCCGTCCCATTGCTTCTCTCGTTTCTTCTTAGTATGCTCTATCTAAGCCAGATGGAGCAGTAGTATTTGGAAGCAAGTACTGAAGTCCAGGGGACTTGCATAATAAATAAATAAACAAATGAACAATTTAGCCATTGGTAAATCAGGCAGAATGAGTTTAACGACTGAGCTAGAAAAGTAGCTGAAAATCTATTCCCAGACAAAGTTCTGAATGTGACCCAAGTTCTCATCACTTAACAGATAACCACACTGACTTCTTTCAGTAAACAAGGGGCTAGAGAGAGAAGCAGTGGGGAAGTGGTCACTGAGGGCTCTGCAGAAACATCCAGTGACACTATGGCCACTTTGCTTTACCAGTATGCTGATACATTATCCTGTGTTCACTGTGAAATGTATGTCCACCACCTAAAAGACATTTCAAGTTCTGCTTTTCTTTAAATAAACTCTCCTTCCTTTAAGTCTTACATAATTCAACTATCATCCCATGTGAGGCTTAATTTAAAGGAAACCATAAGTTGAGTTAATTCACTGTGAAGGGTTACCGAAGTTATACTTATTCCAGAGAGTCAGCAACTGTCCATTATATGCCTGACCTACTGCCAGGCTCTGTGAACACAAATGTGAGTAAGACTCAGCCTCTGCCCTTCAGGAGTTCAAGGCCTCCTAGGAGAGAGATGTATTTGAAAACTTAGTGAAAGGAATTACAGGTATGAAGGCAGAAGGAAGTACATGAGCTGTTCAGCGACCACCAGCTCTAATGAATGAGAGAGTACCCATGGAGGGGCAGAGGACAGAGGTTGCAGTTCAGTAAAAGAGACCCCTGTCTGTCTGCTTGGAAGGCCTGTGGGTACCTGCTGTCTGCCAGGAGACAGGATAAGGGGATGGTCTGGGCAGAGAGAGCAGTAAGACAGGGGCAGCCATGCACAGTGGCATGAAACAACCAGACCTAGGGTCATATAGACACATGAATCCAGCTGGGCAATAGGCTCTGAGGGAGAGAAATGAGAGGCAGGCCTGGGGGCCAGGGGGTGATCTGTCACTGTCCTATGGCTCTTGTGAAAGACTGTGGACTCTATCCGACATGCAGTGGGAGCATGTAAAAGATGTTAAACAACATCTATGTGCAGTTTAGAAGATCACCGTGGCAACCATGTGGAGGACGGTCTGGACGTGTTGAGGCTGGCAGCGGAGAGTGCAGTCAGGAGGTGAGTGCGGCAGTCCAGGTGGGAGGGACAGGGCCTGATCTCAAGAGGCAGCAGTGGGGATATAAAGAAAGAGAAAGCAAGCAGATGTTAAAAAGAGAGAAATCTGGGCATGAGGTAATGAAATCTGGGTTCTAGTTCTAGCTTCTGTACAATCTCTGTGGGGCCTTGGATGAGTCCTTCCTTTACTGGATCCTGTTCCCCAACCTGCCAGGTGAGAGGGAGACATTTTGGGCTGTTTGAGTAGGCACTTTATTCATGAAACTGGTTATTATTGTTATTATTCATTCATTGGGTAAGTCAGTCAGTCAGAAAGGCACTCACCCCTTGATTCCTTTTGGGAGGCTTACTACAAAAAAGCAAAATAGTGGTACAAAGGACTCAACCAAGGGAGAGATGGGACTTGAAGTCCATAAACATTTGCTGATCACACTTTAGGTGTAAAATGTGCATCACAATGTACTATAGATAAGATGGAAATGGAATGATCAAGATGTGGTCTCTGCTCTTTGGGAGGGAAATGAAGCAGCGTGTGACTCACTCAGTTCAACAAACAGTGACTGAATGCCTGTGTGCAGAATGTCTTACTGTGTCTACCATAGTAAGGACAGTGAGGAATAAGACATGGCTCACAAATGGAAGAAGTGATATCCCTCTCAGAGAGTTGCAAAGCCCTATGGGAGCCTAGAGATAGAGAATTTGTACTGAGTGTGGGGGAAAATGAAAGTTCCTACGGCCAGGGTCCTCACCTGACCCTTAACTACTTGATGATGTAATTGGCCTCCTGCTAGGCTACTGCTTCCACACCCGTAGGCAATGAGCTATTACTGACTGAGTCACTGTATAAAGACCTCTGTCCAGGGCTCTGGGTGGAGGTAGAGACAGAGGAGGATTAGAGACCTGCAGACTGCTGGATGCAGAGGCAATCCTAGTGCTCCACCTACCGCTGGGAGAATAAAGCTGGGTATAAACCTTTTACCCTGAGAACGTTCAGTTGTCATTTCTCAGTTTCACCGAATCCATAGTAAACTTGCCTGAGGCGGCAACCCTCAAGCAAGACACCAAGTCAGAAGTCCATCTTTGATCTTTGTTACAGCAAACAGAAGTATGAATGCCTTTTTCTGGGATCCAAGACTCCCAAAAGTCCCCTTCATAAAAGTAGATGAAGCAAGAAGTTATTCACTTTATTTTGAAGATCCTTGCATGGGTGAGGTCCTATATCAGGTATTCCATGTAAGAACAGCAAGACATGCTCTTTACCTTCAAAGAAATCACAGGTCTCTGTTCATAACATTTTGTATTGTGGAAGGAGGAAGCAGAAAACATTGGGTTCGACTCTTTTTATCAAGCAATCCAAAGTGCCTTGAACAGCACCTAGCATACAGTAGGTGCTCAATAAATTCAGCTAAGGTGAATATCAAATTTGCTACTTAAAAAAAATGAAGTTGACTCTTAATAATAACACATACTTGATATTTATCCAAATAATTCACTCAGGAAAAATTATTTTTATGTAAGAAGTCATGAATAGTTAATCAAACCACAGGCAATTGGCTTGTTGTACTACTAATTCAAATAAGGTTTCTAAGCAGCAGGTCTATATTCCCAAAGCCTTAAGAAAGCAGATGACATCTAGTTTGCTCTAAGAGGCTTGATTGACCACATTCCGTTCTTTAAGCCAGGGTGAGTTCAGTTTTTGGAGCTCTCCTTAACTCCCAGCTCCTTCAATAAAACAAGCAGTTTCTAAATATCTAGTCTGGAAAGACCATACTTGGGAATGGTCTTGCTTAGAAAGAAATGGAAGTGTTGGAGATATGAAAGGAGAATCCCACTAGTACCCTGGTTAAGAAAAGTTGCTGACTTGACAAATGAGATGACATATATAAAAAGCTTTGAAAAAAATCTAAAGGTGCTAACAATGCAAAAGGGGTTAAAAGAGAACATGTATCACATGTGGTATTTTTTGTCTTGAACAGAGAGGCCCAGAGACTTGAGATACAGCTGGTAAGAATTATGACATGTAATTTAAAACCTTTGGCCAGTGAGAAATGATTCTACAGGACTTGCAATAGGTTTGGCTCAGGCTCTCTGCACCTTGCTGGAGGGGTGGAGGTGGCCACCGTGTTGCATACCATTGGGGGGAGGAAATTATGGTAATACAGAGTGATTTCAGTCAGGGGCTTTTGGTCACAGGCTGATCTGGGTTGATATCTGGCCTCTGTCATTTACTAACCTATTGAGATGTGGACAAGACACTCACTTAAGCCTCAATCTCTCTTTGTAACTGAAAACAATAATGCCTATCCCATAAGTTGTTTGGGAGAGTACATGAGATAATAGAGGTAAACAGCTTAGTACAGTGCCTGGCTTATAACAAGGATGGTAACTATTAATATTGTAATTAGGATTACTGAAAAGGAATTGTTCTTTCCAAAATTGGCTAAAACACTTATTTCAAACATTTCTGAGACTGAAATAAAATATATGGGTGGTGGATTTGCAGAAATGGGAGTGGGTGTTTCATTTTAGTCTAATTGTAATATGAAGAACATAGCTGAATCTTGCTGCTAATCAAACCCTTTCTCATGGTAAGATTATTTTGTGAGTGAACCTGGACTGAATGTATAGTGTCTTTTTAACGATATACTATAATGTGCCATTTTGTAACACGGGTCCCTTCCTAATGTTGTTTAATTATATATTCATAAGAACTTCAGCTTGGAAGTGACCTCTGTGACTTAAAGTTTATTCAAGTTCTGGCAAAACAAAAACCCCTTTGAGCCTTAGTTTTCACATCTGTATAATAGGGATAATAATTGTACTTAGAGTTTGCATGATGTTGAAAGTATTACATGAGATGATCATCATCTTTACTGAGGTTTTTGCTGTGTGCCAAGTTCTGGCAGCCTTTACTAAGTTATCTCACCCTCATCACATATCATGTTCCCTTCCAGAAGTGTGGCTGTAAAGTCAGGGGCTGCAGCCAAGGGTTCAGAACGAGCCAGCGAGGATCAGTTGAGCTGACAGGTGGAGGACTGCTAAGGATGGCCAACAACATCAGCAGCTCTTGCTGCCTTAGAGACAGCTGGCTTTTTGGCAAGTGGGCGGTGGGCAGCACACAGAGGTCAGTAGGGCAGGAAAATAGTTTTGAATATACACAAACATCAGGCACCTTGACGCGTGCAGTCACACTTTACATTTCCAAGGCTTACCACAAATAACTGCTCCTAAAGGTGTCTAGAACAACATCTCAAGGGTCCCAATGCAGGCAGACATAGGCAGAAGGATAGGACCT